ACCCGATCGGGTCGGATCGAACCCGTCGGATTCGGGTTGAGTTGCCATCCCTAGACGTGAGTGAAGGATTTTTCAAAAATATGTATGGGCAATGCATGGGGCCGAGTAGGCAAATGGTCCCATCCTTGTGACCAAGTACTGTTGTTTGACCACAACGCAAAACTCATCCATTTACCCTTTCGGTAATTTTAATATACGATTAAAAAAAATTATTAAAAATATTATAATTTTTTTACATTTTTGATAAAATACTATTTAAAATATCATTTTTTATTTAAATATTATTTTTTACTGAAAATGTTAATATTAGGCGTTACTTAAAATATTATTTTTCTTATCTATTTTTAAATAATGAAATTAATATTTTTTATAAAAAATAATTTTTTAGATAGTATTTTATCAAAAATATTAAAAAATTATAACATTTTTTATAATTTTTTTTTTTATAATTTTTTCTTTAACTGTATATTAACGTATTGTACGGGAAAACTACCCCTCACATGGAGAGTCCAAAATTATGACCAAAACCATTCCAAGTTTTTCTTCATTGCTCAGTTATTGCTGGTCTTCCACGTGTATTCTCCTTATGTAGGAGATAATTTCACATGTACCTCCTCTCACGTCTTGGGGTAATAAAAAATATTACTTTCATATTTGAAAAAAAATTGAAGTTTAAAAGTAATAGCATTGTACATTCTGTTAGACATGTTTATTTATAAAATGAACGCTTCAATAAATTATTATGGTAGTTTATGATAAAGGAACCACGAGATTAAATAATTACACCGAAACTACAAGCTTGGTCTTTTAAATTATTAGTTTGAAACTTGAAAGCCAATAAATACATCCATCATATATATTTAGTACAATGATAATGTGTATTATATTCCAATTAGAATTTAAACAGTAACGACAAGATTACCAGCTAAAAAGCTAACATAAACCGTGAGTGCGAAACATGTTCTAGAGCTCGAGGGGTCCGTGAGCATTAAGGTACCGCAAAAATAAACATAAAATTTTATGTTAGAGTGTACATTTAAGAAATTATGTTAAGAATTTATAGAATACGAAATTAAATATTTTATATAAAATATAAAAAATTACTTAAAAATATAAAAATAAAATAAAATTCCTAGAGATATAAAAGCATTTCTAACCCTACAGCACCCCCTCCATCTATCCCTAAGCTACAAGCGGCTCAATCACGATGTACGACGGTGCAGTTCAGCCTTGTTTCATTACAACAAGTAGTTGACTTTATACCTAACGTGAAATCCTAAAATAATTCCCCGCATGGGAATCTGCAAAACCAATCATAAACTGGTTTTTTTGGCTTCATCTCTATAGCGAGCGGGAAGATTATGTAATTCAAAGACAAATAAGAAAATATTTAAGAATATAGCTTTATGTCTCTGTCATTTATTTATTTATTTATTTATTCAAACAACTAATATATACAAATATATACTTCAGTTCACTAGCAATGATATTATAAGCTACTGGAGGTTAAGAAGTGCTTATATTTAATAATACGATCAAATTTAAATTTTAATTAGTATCGGGTCAAGGGTTCGAATATTGATAATTTATTTTTAGTGTTTTTTTAGAAAAAAATAAAATAAAGGGTAATATTGTTTTATTTATTTTATATTTAAAGAGGTGATTTAATTATGTAGGGAAAGGGAACTCCCCAACTAATGAAGATTTGATGATTGAGAACCTTGATCACTCTAATTCAGGGTTTTGATTATTTGGGGAGGGCCGACACTCGAATGCCCTACCGAATTTCAATAATTTTCTATAATAATAACAAGGTGAGAAATAATATCGGGCGAGGTGGTCGCAGTCCTACAGTGGAAGCAAGAATTATACCAATAGACCAAATAGTTAAATGACAGTGATTTGTAATACCTTAAACAAATTCCTTGCCTACAACTCAATGCTTCACCTTTTGGTCTACAAGAGAGAGAGTGGAATATTGGTAATGAAAGCATACGAAGTCAATTTTAATATGTATATTTGACGTGGACAAAATATATCTAACCTGAATTGTTTAAACAATATTATTATTATTATGAAAGGAAATATGAGAATTATATAATATTAGTTTAAATAAAATTATATAAATACATAATATCTAAGACTTAACTAAAAAATACGAATTTATTTTTTTAAGTTTTGAGTTCGAGTATGATGTTTATAAGAGTGTGTAAACGTTTATTGTCAAATAGTTGAGAGTGTTTCGAACATATATTACCTTGTATTCACCTTATACTAATAAAAACATTAGAACAATATTTTATTATTAAAATATATTAATGAATATAATATTGTTTATCTATGCAATAGGGATATCGAGTTGATTTGATATTTTATGTGTATAATAAATTTAATTAAATTAATAAATTCATTAATTAAATGATTAAAATAATATTTATAATTCCTACGTGTAAAATTGTTTTAATTTTATAATAATGTAAGTTCATATCTTATGTATAAAAAGAATTTGTTTTAGCGAGTTCAAGTAATCTCTTCCTCATACTTTAACAAATAATAAAAATAATAGTATTTAAAATTATCTAATTTATAAAAAATATTGTCTAATTTTTTACATTAGTACCTACATATTATTTTGTCCACATTGATACTTAAATTAATCTTTTTTTTCTTCACATCGGTACCTTTTGTAACTGTTTTAGTAGTTATATAATTTTATATTTAAAAAAATAAAAATAAATCATTATATATATTTTTTTATTTATAATTTTTAAATTTAATTTTTGATGACTTTTCGGGTGATGATACATGTATTTTCATGGTGTAACATCGTATGTTTTTTAACATCTTTACAACAAAAGAAATTTACCAATGTGAAAAGAATTGTAAAAAAAGAAAAAAGAAAACACTAGCGCCACTTGTTTTATTTTTTTTATATTTGATCACATAATATTAATTTTGATATTAGTGGTCACCGTAAATATTAATTGTTTTTTTTTTATTTTCTTATATCATCAATTTTTTTTAATAACTTTATTTTTATGATAATTTTTTAATCTTTTGACAAGTTTTCAGTTTTCTTTATCAATCGTTTGATCGTTCTTTTTGTTTTATTTTTCTCAGGGTTAGATATGATGTTGTTGTGGCTGATCAAGATGATGTTTATTTGTTATCATGTTGATCTTTCATATTTTAGACCTTCAGAGTGGATTTGGATATGCAATTTACGTTTGTAAACGATGCCTAATTTTAATTTGCGTTAATCGGGAGTCTTTTAATAGTTTGATCCCCTGTTGTAGTTCGTTTGTTGATATAATCAGATATGTTTGTATCTATATTTTGTTTTAGTTTTTTTTTTTTTTTTTGAATTTTCACCTTTTCCTTGTATGATCCTTGTTAGGGGTGTAAACGAGCCGACTCTAGCTCGAGTATTGATGAGTTCGACTCAAACTCAAAAATCTTAAAATTAAACTCGACTCAAGTTCCAAAAAACTCGAATTCATGCTCGATTGAATCTCGAACTCGAACTCAATTCAGAGCTCGAATTTAAACCTATTATGAAAATTTATTTTCAGAGAAACACAAAATTAAAAGTCCCCAGTTTTGGAATTCACCACTCAGAGATGAAACGTGAGATAATAAAGCACACAAAGCACATTTACAGTATTTTCGAATAGTCATAAAATCCTCACAATGATATGTTACACCAATGGAACAGAGTATTCTTCATTCTCAAAGGAAAACATGAATCATAAGAAAGAAGAAATGAAACATGACAAACAGGAAAGGCGTAACAAAAATAAAGTAATATGATCTATCGTCGACCGACGACTAACTGTAGAGACCGATGAGTGATGATGGTGATGAACAGTGTCTCATACTCTGACTTATCACTGAAAAATTTTCAGTTTAAAATTTAGAGAAATAAAATTCGAAGGAGATGAGTACTGAACTGATATTCGTACTTTTGCAAGCTAAAACAAATTTGGGTAGAAAAGTTGAAAAGAAAACTTACTAAACACATATTTTATGGATCACGTGTTGATCAAATGGGTTATGGGCTTTATCATCTAATAAAAATGGTTGTCATTTTTTCCCATATGTATGGAATAAAAGGGAGGTAAGATAGTAGAGTATCTCAACACCAAGTTGAGAGCAGCTTCCGTAAGTTAGGTGTGCTGTGTGCCTAGCTGCACACCTACTTGGTGGTGGAGTTATTATATATTTTAATATATTTTTAAAAAATCATAATTATTAATGATTTAATTTTAAAATTAAAATTTTTAATATATTATATTTTCGAGTCGAGTATTGAGTATCTCATTTAAGCTCGTTAAGAATTTGAGTTTGAGCCGAGTTCTTTCGAGTTGAGTGTTGACCGAGTTTTGACCGAATCGATTTCGAATATCTCGCGATCCGTCTCGTCTCATTTACATATCTAATCCTTGTATGATCTCAAATGACTATATTTTTGTATCAATAATTTTAGGAGCATGTCCTAATTACGCATTTAATTTATCATTATAGTTATAAACATTCATTATAATTTTAAATATTTTATCTTTTTAATAAATTAATTGCTTCTCTAATAAAAAATTTCTGATGTGAGATAAGTGGACAAGTTTCACCGATATAATTAAAAATAATTCAATATTAATCTGAGAAAAATAAAAGAATTCATATATCAATATAAACAAAAATAAGATACTAATATGAACAAATATATAGATTGGTAGGCTAAAGTGTGAATTTCCCCCGAAAAAAAAAAACATATATCAGTTTGAGCCGAAGTAATTGGGCTCACATTGTTCATTCTTGTGGTGCTTGGGCTTTAGCCCTTACGTTATGTATCTGTCCAAATTTATCAATTGAACCGGGCTTCGATCAGACCCACTACTTCCGGTCCCTAATATAAATCACAATTCTTAAGTTGTTCTTCAAAAATCAACATTTCAACAAAAAAGAAGGAAAAGAAAGAACACTGTTTCTCCGAAGCAAAATAAATAAATAAATAAATAGGTAAATAAAATTTAATTATCGTAAAATCTCATCTCTTCAACGTCTTTGCTGTAATCATGAGAATCCTTCGATCTGGGAAATACTTCTTCGCTTCTCTTTTGTTTTGTTCTTTCTTCTAGAGTTTGCTCGAGAACACTGATTTTCATTTTATCCTTTATTATTATTTTTTTGCAATTTAGCAGTTTTATCTTCGTTTTTATGTTTCGGAATTTGTTTTTCATTTAGCGTGCCTTTATTTGCAAGTAATGTGAATTTACTTGGGAAATTCATTTTGGCGATGATCTGTTGAGGAGGTGAGGAGATGAAAAGAAAAAAAGTTCTTTCGTTTGGTGATTTTTTGCTTTGTTTTGAGATCTGCATCTTGTTTAATTGTTTGGTTTAAAATAACTGTGGTTTTTTGTTGATTGCAGGAATTTCTTTTTGGAGATAAATCAAAGTTTGAAGCATGATTTGTTGGTGAAAATAGAGAGATAATTAAGAAAAGAGGGGGGAAAAAACTTCTGCTTTGATTTGGAAAAAAAGGAAAAGAGATGAAGCGGTCCAGGGATGAGGTTTACATCGGCGGCTCTCAACTTAAAAGACCTGTGGTCTCTTCTCGAGGAGAAGGGTAAAACAAAGATTTATCTTCTTTTTTTATTATTATTTTTGGTCTAAATCTGTGTTTTCGTTATGAAAGCTACAATGAGATTAAGTTTGAAATTCTAACAGGTCAATCACTGTCGCCCTCTTTTCTGTCGCTTGTTCGGTTTAGCAGATTTGATTAGTCTTTTTCTCGTTTAGTTTAGTTTGTGTAAGTTCGGTCCCATTCGTGAATTATCTTTACCTTTGATGAGAAAAAATATATATATTTTTCGTTTTCTACAAATTCTGGTTGGACATATTCATTTTCTCTGAAGGTGTTTGGAGATGGAAAAAATAGTAATAGTCTTTCTTTTCTAGATGGGCATGTGTCTAGTTTTTCTTCTGTGAAGAGTCCGTGTAGTATTAAAGATAAGGTTTTAATTGCCTGCAGAAAAAAATTGTCTGCAGAAAAGGCTAAATAACCCTAGCTGTTGATCTACTTTTAAGGTGACAATGATACGTGTGTATATATGTATAGTTTTTAAATTTCATTTGGAAATATACGTGACAGTTAGCCAGAAATGTTCTTTAATCTTACCATGTATTATGTTTTCCGATGATGAAGCTCTGGGCAACCCCAGATGGCGGGAGGTACAGGAGCTACCCAGAAACTGACCACAAATGATGCATTGGCATATCTCAAAGCAGTTAAAGATATATTTCAAGAAAACAAGGAGAAATATGATGACTTTCTTGAAGTAATGAAAGACTTCAAGGCACAAAGGTTTGATCATTATTTATTTTTAAAAAATTACCTTACTTTTGTAAATTTTGCTCCTTATACCCTAGTAATGTTTGTATGAACCAATTTGTGACTTGTGGTAATGGTACTGAATGTAGGATTGATACTGCGGGTGTCATAGAAAGGGTGAAGGAGTTATTTAAAGGGTACCGAGACCTGATTTTGGGTTTCAATACCTTTTTGCCCAAAGGATATGAGATCACCCTCCCATTGGATGATGAACAGCCTCCCCAAAAGAAGCCTGTGGAGTTTGAAGAAGCAATTAGTTTTGTGAACAAAATTAAGGTAGAATTTGTGCCATTGATGAATTTATGAGATCGGTTTTTGCCTGCAACATTTCTGATCTCATTATTTGATTTTTGCAGACAAGGTTTCAGGGTGATGACCATGTCTATAAATCCTTTTTAGACATTTTGAACTTGTACAGAAAAGAAAATAAATCTATCAATGAGGTCTATCAGGAGGTTTGTTACGTTATAGTTTCTTTATTTTTTTTCAGTCTTCTGTCTTTGCATGGGATTTGTATGCTGCCTTGGATATCGGATTTTGGTGATCAAAAACTATATTTCCTTATAGGTTGCTGGCCTTTTCCAACACCATCCAGATCTACTTTCGGAGTTCACTCATTTTCTGCCTGATAACTCAGCATCAGCATCTAATAATTATGCTTCCTTCGGTAGAAACTCTATACCCCGAGACAGGAATTCTGCTATGCCTGGAATGTGTGCAGTCTCTGCTGACAAGGTTTCCTTTAGCCTAATCCTTTAGTGAATTATGATTCTTTGTCGCCAATCAAGCTAACATTTGGTTTATGAGAATATCTGGCAGAAAGATAGGTGTGCAGCTCTGCTGGCTGACTGTGACCTTAGCATGGAACACACTGATCCAGATCATGATAGAGTTATGATGAAAACTGAAAAAGAGCAAAGAAGGCGCAGTGAAAAAGAAAGGGACAAGATGGAAGACAGAGATAGGAGAGACCGAGAACCGGATGATCGAGACTTTAAAATTGATGGAAACAGAGACTTTAACATGCAGTTTCCACATAAACGGAGTGGAAAACCCGCTCGTAGGAGTGACGAATCAGCTGTTGAGCAACTTCAGCAAGTTGGGGACGGTCCTGCATATGACGATAAAAATGCAATGAAAAGTGAGTTTTCTGCTTCCCAATTAAACATTGTAGTAAAATCTATGGCTGAAAATGTTTAAACATAAATAGTTGCTTATCTTTCTATTATATACAATATAATTTTATCCTCATAATAACCTAATATCTCTTCTGGGGTCTGCTACCATCCTCATTGACAAGTTTATTCTTCATTTAAATCCCCTTGTTTCTGCTTACTTCTCCCCAGAAGTATTAGGAGGGATATAATATTTGTGTGAATAACAATGATTTTCGTGAATGGATGTTATCGCTTGATGGCAACTCTCATCTGTATGATTTCTTGTAATAAGCTCGGTATTGTAAAATTTTCAAATTTTTATATTTTTCTTTTCATTTGCTCATGTTGCTTCTTTGACTTGCATCATTCCATATCAGGTGTTTATAATCAGGAGTTTGCCTTCTGCGATAAAGTGAAGGAGAAGTTGAGAAATCCTGAGCATTATCAGGAATTTTTGAGGTGCCTTCACCTCTATAGCAATGAAGTAATCTCACGCACAGAATTGCAATCTTTGGTATGGTTTACAGACATCATTAGTTTGTAATTTACTAATTCCTTCTTCAGCTCACATGAGGAATTCATGTAGTTTATCTTTCTTGTTTTAGTTTGTTGGAAGGACTTGTGTAGTATGTTACATATTTTAGTTGAACAGTTCAAGCTTTATTATGCTTTTTCAACTGAAAAAGCTCAATGCATTCCTGCATTTTTTTGAATTGACTAAGCAATTTGCAGAGTTTCAACATCATAATATTTAGTGCCCTGGAATATTATAATTTATTGTTACTCTTGTTTGATATAATTGTAGATGCACACACATATATTGGACTGCTTAATTAGGGACAATACAGATAAAACTAGTAACTTTTGGAAAATTTTTCTTGTTAGGTGAATGATTTGCTTGGAAGATACTCAGATGTGATGGATGGTTTCAATAAGTTTTTGGCACAATGTGAGAAGAATGGTAAGTATCTGCAGAAAAGTTATAACTCAGCTTTATATGAATTTTGCAGTGTCGTTGTTGACTAATCAAATCCCATTATGCAGAGGGCTTGCTTGCAGATTTTGTTAGTGAAAGTAAGTACAACTATCTGTTTCCCCACTTATCAACTTCAGTTAAGAGTTCCCCAGTTTATTTGAAGCAGAGCAAAGAATGTTACAGTCGTAACTCTTAACAATGGTTGTATTAATGTTAAACAAAACTAGTGGAGCATCTAGTTGAACTGAACTGGCCGCTACTTTTGGTTGAGTTCCAATATGTTCTTAGCAAGTTGTTATGCTTGCAGAATACTTGCACAATGAAGGGCAGGTACCAAGATCAGTTAAAACAGAAGAAAGGGATAGAGATCGAGATCGTGAAAGGGATAATGGGGTCAAAATAAGAGACCGTGAAACCCGAGAAAGGGACAGACTCGACAAAAGTTCCTTCGGCAATAAAGAAGCAGGTCACAGGGTTTCTTTATTTTCAAGCAAGGATAAATACTTTGGAAAACCCATTAATGAACTTGACCTCTCTAATTGTGAACGGTGCACTCCTAGCTATCGGCTTCTTCCAAAGAATGTATGTAGTTTTTGCTTCGTATTCAATCTTGTTTTTTTGATCGGAACAATACGTTGGGTCTATTATTACTTCATTTGTCTATTGCCTTGCAGTACCGAATACCTTCTGCAAGCCAGAGAACAGAGCTAGGTTCTGGAGTTCTCAATGATCACTGGGTTTCTGTCACATCTGGTAGTGAGGACTACTCTTTCAAACACATGCGCAAAAACCAGTATGAAGAAAGCCTATTTCGCTGTGAAGATGACAGGTTGAACCTTCCTCAGCTGTTGATTGCATTTTCCGCATGTTTTTTCCTTCATGGGTGTTTTTATTTAACTTTAGCTATATTTGGGCTTATTCATTTGTTTCTCGGCCTCACCTAAGATTTTGTTGCAAGTTTCACCTTCATGTGGTCCATGGTGTATGCACACAACTTCACAACCCTTTTACGCCTTTGTTAACTGTTTGAAACTAATCTGTGTGTGACTGAGCCTTGCTTTGCGTTCCTTTTTGGTGCTATTAATCTCTTGAAATATTATCTTAGTATGTTCACTTGAATTTAATTTGTGAAAATCTAATATGTTTATGTTTACAGGTTTGAACTGGATATGTTGTTAGAGTCCGTGAATGCAGCAACCAAGCGAGTAGAAGAACTGTTAGAAAAGATTAACAGTAATATCATCAAAGTAGACAGTCCAATTGGCATTGAGGAGCACTTATCAGGTTATAGACTATGAATAAAATATCTGTACATGTATGTATTGTATATCACACCCTTTCCTATTTTTCCTGATGTCTATTCTCGTATGATTGTCACTGCAGCTCTCAATCTTAGGTGCATTGAGCGTTTATATGGTGACCATGGACTTGATGTGATGGATGTTTTAAGGAAAAATGCCCATCTTGCTTTGCCAGTTATTTTAACTCGCTTGAAGCAGAAACAAGAAGAGTGGGCTAGATGTCGTTCTGATTTTAATAAAGTTTGGGCTGAAATTTATGCCAAGAATTATCATAAATCGTTGGACCACCGTAGCTTCTATTTTAAACAGCAGGACTCGAAGAACTTGAGCACCAAAGGTATCTTCAGCTTTTGCCTTTTAATGAGAAAAAAAAGGATAAAGAGTTCGATACTTAAATATATTGGTCTTTGGGAGGATTACGTTATGCTGTATATATCATATATTATCATGCATGATTTTTACCTTTTAATTTACCATGAAGTGATACTGAGAACTTTAGAACAGCATATGAATGGAAGCTGGTCTTGAAAACTTTCTTCGTCAGTGATTTCATATTTCCTATTGTTATTCATGCTTTGTGGAGTAGCTTTCATGTTTGATTGCTTTTTTTTGGAACTGAAATATAGCACGCCTTTCTGAATTTTCTTGTTTCAAAGTTCACTTATTTAGGACGAAGTTAGTAATTCTAAAATATTATTACACTGGAAATTTACTAATTGAAATGGTTTATATTTTTACTCCTTGAATTGTAGGACTTATTCTTTTAAGTGAATAATTGTATAATATTTATCTTGATTATTGTCTGTTTTCATTGTCCCTTTTCATATTCGGTACAGCTCTGTTGGCTGAGATCAAAGAAATCAGTGAGAAGAAGCGCAAAGAGGATGATGTGCTTCTTGCTATCGCTGCTGGAAACCGACGGCCAATTATTGCCAATTTGAAGTTTGAGTACCCTGATCCTGAAATTCATGAAGATCTTTATCAGCTCATCAAATATTCCTGTGGAGAAATGTGTTCAACTGAGCAATTGGATAAAGTAATTAAAATATGGACTACCTTTTTGGAACCCATGCTTGGGGTTCCTTCCCGTCCTCAGGGAGCGGAGGACACTGAAGATGTTGTGAAGGCTAAGAACACCATCGTCAAAAGTGGTAGTCCTAGTGTTGGTGAGAGTGAAGGGAGCCCTGGTGGCGGTGTTGCCATGAATCCCAAAAATTTAAATCCTTCTAGACATGAAGATGAAGTTATTCCACCAGAGCAATCCAGTTCTTGTAGGTCTTGGTTGCCGAATTGGGATAATGGCATCAAGCAAGAATGTTCTGCTGAGATAGACAGTGTTGGTCATAAAAATGTTTCTTCCTCTGATGCTCCTCAACAAGATAGAATGCAAGTCAGTCCCTCTAACGGCGGTGAAGTAGCAGGGGTCAGTAAACAAGCTAGTTCTAATGAACGGTTGGTTGCTTCAAATGTATCTGTTATTGCGAGAATGGATCAAAGCAATGGAAGAACAAGCCTAGAGAATACTTCAGGTTTTCTTATGCCTCTAAAGCTGTTCATTTTTTATGTCAAGCTAGTTGTGCAATTGAATTTTCAATTTTCCTAGAATGTTAACTAGAATGCTGAGATATATTTTGTTGCAAGGTCTTATCGCTACTCCTTCCAGACCTGGTAATGCTGCAGTTGAGGGTGGACTAGAGTTAAAGTCTAGTAATGAAAATTTACCTTCATCAGAGGTATGGGCAATACTCATTTGGTTATCAGTTTATTCATTCCTTAGATGAGGAACTAATCCCTTTGCTTCAGTGTTGCTTTTTACAATGTCCCCAGTGGTTGATAATATTTTTTGATAACCGGTCTATGTGGTTTATCATTTCAGATATTTTATGCCTAATGACTTATCTACTGCTGCTCATTTTTGGTTTTAATGAAGTGTCTGTCAAGTGACTTTTTGATGGCATCTTTTTATAATTGTCTATTAGGGGGAGTTTGGATGGGGGAATGTGGGATTCCCATGGGAATGGAATCCACATTCCCCCGTTTGGTTAGTCCGGGAATCCCATTCCCGGTAATGTAAGATTACCAATAGTGAATTTTTTGGGGTATATTAATGGGAATGTCATTACTTCCCTTTCCTTGGGTATTGTTTGATTACCGGCGTTTTGGACTAAAATGCCCTTAATTTTTTTTCCCAAAAATATCGTTCTTCTGTCATTGAATAATAAAAATTCTACGAAGGCTAAAGTACAAATTTATCCTTAAACTATTTTAGACTTACAAAAAAAGTCTATAATTAAAATTTTATATGAAGTTCATGGGTTAAAATAAAATTTTACCCTTTCATTAAATCTTTTTATATTTTCAATTTTGTAAAAAAAATTATATAATTTTTTTTATAAAAAAATATATAAATATTTTCCAACTTGTTAAAAAAACAAATATATAATAAGGACAATTTGGTCAAATATACATTCCAATAATCTTTTATTCTTTTAACGAAACACGGTAATCTTACATTTCTGCTAAGCCAACCAAACACAAAATACAACATTTCCAGTAATCTTACATTTCCACTGGTAATCTTACATTCCGTGAACCAAACGCACCCTTAGTATTTACAGAAGATGTGTATAAAAGTAAGGGATTAGCCTTCATTTATTATGTGACTGCATAGTTCAGCTTTAGTCATAGTCAATGAGAAGAAGATTTTAGGTTTTGTGTTTTTCTTTGTGCTGAAATTTACATATACCGCAGGGTGGTGCTTGTTCTAGGCCAATCTTATCTGGAAATGGGATGATGACAGAAGGCACTAGAACTAACAGGTATAACAAAGGATCTGTTGGACAACATAAAGTTGAAAGGGAAGAAGGTGAATTATCCCCAAATGGGGATTTCGAGGAAGACAATTTCGCCGATTATGCTGAAGCTGGTTTGGAGACTGCCATTAAGGTTAAGGATGGTGCAGCAAACAGACAATACCAGAGACATGCTGAGGAAGAAGTGTGCCGTAGAGAGGCCGGGGGAGAAAATGATGTTGATGAAGAAGGTGATGAAAGTGCTCAGAGGACATCAGAGGATAGTGAGAATGCTTCTGAGAACGGTGAGGCTTTTGGAAGTGATTCTGGCGAAGGTGAATCGAGGGAGGAGCAGGAGGACGATGTAGACCATGATGAACATGATAATAAAGTAGAGAGTGAAGGTGAAGGTGAAGCTGAAGGGATGGCTGATGCCCATGATGTGGAAGGAGATGGAACATTGTTACCATTTTCTGAACGTTTCCTACTGAATGGAAAGCCCCTTGCAAAGCATGTCCCTTCAGCATTACACGAGAACAAGAAGGATTCACGAGTTTTTTATGGAAATGACTCATTTTATGTGCTGTTTAGGCTCCACCGAGTAAGTAGCATTTTGTTGAAGTGCTAATATTTAGCTGATCCTAATGGATATTCTCATATAGTTTGTTCATCAACTCAGTATCCCCTTTACAATTTCAACAGACATTGTATGAGAGACTACAATCAGCAAAGGTTAATTCATCATCTGCTGATAGGAAATGGAGGGCTTCTAGTGATTCAAGTCCTACTGATCTCTATGCCAGGTAATATAGTTCAACTTCTGTCGTTACAGGAAAATGTTAAAAAAGTGGTCAGTACTTGTTCATTTAAACTCTTTTATGATACAGGTTCATGAGCGCACTTTACAATTTACTTGATGGCTCTTCTGATAATGCGAAATTTGAAGATGATTGCCGAGCTATCATTGGAATTAAGTCGTACGTTCTATTCACTCTGGATAAGCTGATATTTAAAATTGTCAAACAGGTAAGGCTGATTTCCCCACTCCCTCCTAAATCCCCCCTTTCTTGCCCTATGTGTTCCTGACCTTACCTCTACCATCTTTGTGGTGCTTACCTCAGCTTCAAGCCATTGCAAGTGATGAAATAGACAATAAACTCCTTCAACTGTATGCGTATGAGAAATCAAGAAAATCTAGAAGATTTGATGTTGTTTATCATGAAAATGCTCGTGTTCTCCTTCATGATGAGAATATATATCGCATTGAATGTGTAAGATTTACCTTTTCTCCTGGATTGTTTATTTGATCTATAATATACAACTCTCACATGCACTGCATTTTTTATTTTTTGTTTACAGTCATCGAGGCCAACTTGTCTATCTATCCAGCTTATGGACTATGGACATGATAAGCCTGAAGTGACAGCTGTTTCCATGGACCCTAATTTTGCGGCATATTTGCACAATGACTTTCTCTCAGTTGTTCCCGAGGAAAAAGAGAAGCCTGGGATTTTCTTGAAGAGGTATATACACTAAGGACTATAGACATGTTTGTCAGCATTTACTTCGTGAAGTTATCATAATATATAAGTATGATGTTTGCAGGAATATACGCAAATGTGTGGGTGGTGATGATCCATCTTCAACATGTCTGGTGACTGAAGGACTTAAAATAGTTAATGGTTTGGAGTGCAAGATCTCTTGCCATTCTTCCAAGGTATATCCAGTTGGATATTCCTTCTCACATTGGTGGAATTTACTTCTTTTATTGCATTGTATTGTAAATACATGGATATGATAAGTTAAATGACTGGAATTGGTGCCTGATAGGTCTCTTATGTTTTGGATACGGAAGATATTTTGTTCCGAGTTAGACGAAAACCGGCCTCAAATCAGAACAGCCAGTGCCATAGCCGAGCAACGGCTTCAAACGGTAATTCAGTTAGACAACGAAGGCAACAACGATATCAGAGATTGCTCCTGGCATATACTTCGCTAGCATAAGTAGATATGGTACGTCTGAATCTGTTCTGTTTGCTCAGAATTAAAGGACAATAATGAAACATAAAGCAATTCTATCTGTGTTCAATCCAATCTCTTATATTTCAATTGAAATATTTTTTTTTTCAAAAAAATGAAACACCCTCGAGACATTTTCTTCAGATTTCTGTGTTTGTCTGTCGGGTCATGCATTAATTACATACAAACACAGGCGTTAGAGACCCGGTGAAAGAGTTGACAGTGGCGAGCAAGTGGGAACTTTTGTTCTTTCTAAATGAAATCATGGTTCAATGTAGTATCATCCATAGATATATATATATGTGACCAGCCAAATAAAGAAATAGATTTTGAGGGGGTCCTAAGAATTTGTAAGTTAAATCTGTGCAAGTTTGTGGTGGTATTTGAGCCACGGTCGTCTACTGTACATAGGAGGTAATATCATATATTTCTTTCTGGTGTATTACATGACACATATGTTCATTATCCATTCATCCATATTATTATTTTTCTCTTAATTGGTTTCTTATTTTGGCTAATATTTAGCTTTATTTATTCGCATTTGATCGAGTATCCGAATACTCAATTCTTCACTTGTGGTATTTGCCTATCTTTTTTCTGTGCAAATTATGTAGAAATAAGTAAAGGTTAGGATGAAAAAAAATGATTTTCTATAATTCTAGCTTAACCTATTTTCTCAGATACTCATCCTTTAATCCCTGAATTCAAAACTTGTTCTATCCTTTAGTAGAAGATGCCCCATTCTGCTTTTGATAAATACTTGGGACCGTTCAAACTTATCTTTGATTTGTTAGGTTTTTTGTTGGTTAGTGTAAAAGCTAAAAAAATGTGTAAAAACTAAATTTATAAATTTATAAATTATAGATGATGTTTTAAGTTAAAAGTATATATTTAAATAATGATATTTTTTATTATACTAATAGAAAAAATATATTAGTTTAAATTATGATAAAAATATATTTTTATTCCTCAGCAACTCTTCTTTTAGTCTCATAAACCGTAACAAAGCATAATTAATAAGGTTAATTACGTAAATGGTCATTCAACTACAAAGTACCATTTTATTAAGTCATAACTATTAAAAGTCATTCAATTATATAATTTTATTTTGTTGAGTCATTCGATTATTAAAAGTTACAAAATGATCATTTGTCTATTTATTATGTTTCAAACTCGTCATTTTCCATTAAAAAGATGATGATATTCTGAGTTGAATGTTAACATATTGACTATGATATGATAAAATGTGATTACATAATTTCAAAATATTATTTCTCAGTCATCATGTTAATGTTTAGTTTATACAATCGTAATTTTTTTAACGGAAAATGACGAGATTGAAACATAAGGAATAGTTGAGCGATCATTTCGTAACTTTTAATAGTAGAGGGACTTAATAGAATAATATTATGTAGTCGAAAAATTATTTTGTAACTTTTAATATTTGAGGAGCTTAATAAAGTAATATCCTATTATTGGGGGACCATTAGTGTACTTTACCCAATTAATAAACAATAAAACAACTAAAATTCAGTTAATGAAAAAATAGATATCGTCAAGTTCCATAAAAATCCACTCGATTAAAACTGAGAGAGAATGGATCAACAAGATATGAAAGCACAACACAAAAACAACCTTGTGCCCTATATTTCCCATTTATATCTTCCTAATTATATAACTATAATTCATTAGTATCGATTCTAACTTATAGACATAACAAAAGGAGCAAACCTAAAAGCCACTTACATTATTCTTTTATAGAAGTGACTAATTTTATTAATATATATATAATGAAAATTTATAATTATAATTGTAAATTAAGTATATTATTGGATATTTTTCTAAAAACATTGACATAAAATTAATAACTTAATATTACATAAGGATTATATGAAGAAAGATTAAAAAAAAATCTAGCCAATACTCGAACAATGATAGATACAAACATATATGATCGTATTAGTAAACGAACCACAAAAGAAGATTAATCTATTAATAAATAATTGACAAAACTGTAAATTAGAGTTGAGCGACTTGAGAAAATTATCCACAAACGTAAATCAAGTATCCAAATCCAATATGAGAGTTTAAAGTGGATAATATCAACATGATGACATATAAGTGTAACATTGATTAGTCGCGGCGATGTTTAATTAACCCTTAAAAATGATAAATGAAAAAACGACCAAAAGATAAAGAAAAATGTATCATAAATGCAGATGAAAACGTATTATAAAGACATATTTATTAAAATTAAAAACAATAAAAAATATAAAAATATGATATAGAAAAAATAAAATAACAATAAAAATACTGATGATCAACAACCAACATCAAAATTGATTATGTCGTTGATCAACGAAAATAAAAAAAGTATAACTTTAAATTATTTATATTTTTATGATTCAAGTAATACATTAAAAGAGTTGGTCCAATTGACCTACACAAGGAGTATCAGAGAAGATTGTTTCTTTATGATATTACTATATCACATACGACGTTAACTGTAAAAAGATAAATATATTCCTCTTTACATGAAAAGAGGAGTTGTAGAGAATAAACATGATTTGTATTGTTATTTTTCGCTTACACTAAAACAAAGATAATCATAAATTAATCTTTTAAGTGTTTATATAAAGAGAAAATAACCTCAGTGACCGAAAATGTCTTATAATATACGATTTTGACCAACTTTTTTTCGATTTGCCAAAATGACCAACAAAATCGCAATGCGATCTCTAAATCGCAACGCGATCTCCAGTATCGCAAATCAGTTTCCAGATTCGCAACGCGATTTTGACTATCGCATTGCGATTTTCCAAATTCGCGTTGATTTTAGAAAATCGCAATGCGAATATGTAAATCGCAACGCGATTCTGACTATCGCAACACTGAATTTCAAATTTGCAACAGGTTTTAGTTTCGCAACACAAATGTTTTGGGTATATAACTACGCAGCAGCATCAACTCATAACCTAAATCCCTAAATCGCAACTCATTTCATCTCCATCTATCACTCTCTCCGACGACATCCATTCCTATATCCAACGACATCATATATCCAACGACATCCTTCCCCATCCGGCAACAGGTTTTAGTTTCGCAGCTCGTTTGTTTAGTAAATTAATTTACAATAATGAAATCATCTAATGTTGATCATGTTTGGATAGATTTGTGTTTTGGAGGGTCATGGGAGAATGTTCATGGTGTTTTACAATATATGCCTTTACCCATGAATCTTCAACTAAAACTGTCATTAAAAAAGTTAACTTATGAAACTCTAATGTTACGTGTTACAAATAAATTGAATTTAGAGCCCCTAAGTGGATTTAGGCTATATTATCAGAGAAAAGGTAAAGTTTATTTGTTAACCGACAATGAAGATGTTGAACGATTCATTTCTTACATTAGTGTTTCGCAAGATGATGTTACATTGTATGTTGTTGAACCTAGAAGTAGTGAAGTTGGGTCAGTAGCGGGTAGTAATCAACTAAGTTTTTCAACCCCAGTTTATGGTGCTCAAAATTTAATGGTTCCACCACAATTTCATCACCAAGAAAATTTTGTTTCACCACATTTCCAATACCAAACACAATCTCAAAACCCACAACCTTTCCCTAATCCAAATCCCAATCAACTTTCAGCACCAAATTCCGGTTTTCGTATTTACCTGTTAGACGATGATGAGCCAACAGAAAAAATTGTGAGTACTAGTCAGTATTCGAAATTTGATCTTGGTCAATACCTGGACTTTGATCTTGGTCAATACTCGGATTTTGATGATGTTTCAGAAGAAGAAACATACCCTGTGTGTAATGATTTTGATATTGGTCAATACCCGAATTTTGATGATGAAACAGCCGTTGCCGAGGAAGATGTTGTTGATGATAATGAGGATGAAGTTACGACTATGAATGAACATGTTGAACATCCATTCTGTAATTCATATAACCCTGAAGAAGAAGAAGAAGAAAAAATCCCCGAAGAAAAGTCCCCGAAGAAAATGCCACGGGAGTATAACTGGAATATGCCAGAATTACTTCAGATACCGAAAGAAGAGTTGGTAAAGATAACAGTTGATTGTTACACAAAAATTATTCGTATCAAGAAAGATGATTGTTTTGATACAAAGGAAGACTTGAAGATAGCTTTGTATACGAAATGTGTGGAAGATGGCTATCAACTAAAAGTTAACAAATCAAGCAAAGATTGTTTCGAAATAAGGTGTATGATTGACAAAAACTGTATGTGGCGTATGATTGCAAAGAGGATAAAAGATTGCGAAATGTTTCAAGTTATGACTTTTATTGATAAACATACATGTTCAAGAATCCAAGTTTTTCCTCACCATAGACAGACAAACAAAAAGGTGTTGGGTGGTTTTCTGGCTGAGTTAATGTTTTTGAATGGCAGGGTATATCAGGGACATGAAATTATGACTGACATGAATGCTCGATTCAAGATTAGTATCTCATATTCTCAAGCTTGGAGAGCCAAATGTTATGCCTTGGAATTGTTGAGGGGGGCGCCAGAAGGATCGTTTGCCCAACTGTCGGCTTATTGTCACAATTTAAAGCTGAAAAATCTTAGGTCGGTAACTCATATCAAAACAGATAGAGATGGACACTTTGAGTTGCTGTTTATCGCCATTGGTGCTGCGGTTAGTAAATCAATATAATTTTGTTAACTCATTTTTTTTAGTTACATGCATTTCACATTTAAATGATTATATTTCTTGTGTATATTATTTTGTAGATTTGTTCGTTTATTACTTGCATGCGCCCAATTATTATAGTTGACTAAGCACATTTGAAAGGTCGATACCTTGGAGTAAACTTATTAGAAGTAGTCATGGATGCTAACAATGAGATATTGCCAATAGCTTACGGGGTTGGCAAATATGAAACCTCTGATTCATGGACATGATTTATGGGGTATCTTAGGGATTGCATAGGTCCTATTAGCAATCTCACAATCATATCCGATAGGGCAAACTCAATTGATAACGTTGTTAGAAGGTGTTTCTCAGATGCTTTTCATGGACTTTGTGGTGTTCATTTGTATAGAAATCTAAAATCAAGGTCTGCTGGTATAAAAAATCACAAATGGATATACTGGAATGCTGTAAAAGCTTATCGGGAAGTGAATTTTAATAAGCATATAAATTGTTTAAGACGTGTTTTGCCTCAGTGTGCTCAAACACTAGAAGATGTCGGGTTTGAAAGATGGTCAAGAGTACATCAACTTGGAGCAAGATATGGTTTCATGACGTCTAATAGTGCAGAATCAATCAACGCTCTAAGTCGTCATTCCCGGAAATTACCCATTACTATGTTAATGGAGTTTTTTCGAGCCTCTATTCAACAGTGGTACTATAAGAAAAGAAACCATGCAGGTGTTATTTCTTTAAATTCGTAACTTATCATATATTTTACTAAGTATTATTTATTTAAATTTATAGGAACATTGGAACATCACGTTACACCATGGACT